TGTGTGTGTGTGCGCAGGCTAAAGGCTTTGAGCTGAGTTACCTGGAGAAAGTGGTGGAGGTGAAGGACACGGTTCACCGTCAGTCTCTGCTTCATCACACCTGTAACCTGGTGGTGGAAAACTACCCAGAATCCTCTGACGTCTACTCTGAGATCCCCGCCATCACCCGCTCGGCCAAAGTACAGTTCAGTCCTTCTCACCTTCACGCCGCCCTGATGTAAAATCACCTGGCGCTGACTAGTTTCCTTTTTTCTCCAGGTGGACTTTGAGCTGCTGTCGGAGAACCTGGTCCAGCTCGAGAGACGCTGCAAAACATCATGGAACAACCTGAAGGTGGTGGCCAAACATGAAACCAAAGCGGCGCTGAAGAACAAACTAACGGACTTCCTGAAGGACTGCACGCAGAGGATCATCATCCTGAAGGTCGTCCACAGGAGAGTCATCAACAGGTGACACATCAGCACGCGCGCACGCACACACACTGTCCTCGGCACGATGATGCACTGACCTCCTCCTCCTCCAGGTTCCACTCCTTCCTGCTGTTCCTGGGTCAGCCGTCGTCTTCGGTCAGAGACGTCAAGGTGACGAATTTCTGTCGGATCATCAGCGAGTTCGCTCTGGAATATCGAACCACCAGAGAGCGAGTGCTCACCATCAAACGGAAACGCGCAGCTCACCGAGAGCGCACCAAGACCCGAGGAAAGATGATCACCGAGGTAAGACTCTCCCCTGCTTGTCAGAGGGTCAGAGGTCAGCGGCAACAGAATCACAAAATCTGAGTTACTTGATTTAAACCAGTGCCAATCAGTTAACACCGTTATCTACATAGAATATCAAATATTTGTATTAATTAGAGAACGGCACCAAAGCCCACAGACTTCTAGCTTCCCAGGTTTGTAGTTTTTAAATAGCAGATTCATATAATGGTTGAATCTCACTGAACTTCTCGGATGATCTTCCAGTACAATTTAAACACTCTAAACGGCACCACCACTGCAAACACACCTCTCAATCAGAGCCGCCACGCCTCCATCTTCAGGCTTTAGTTAAATTCAAATGGACGAGGTATGAATCAGTTTACTTCCTGTGTGATTATTGCAAAGGAGGAAATCATCTTTACACACCAAAACATTTTTTTGCAGCAGGCTGTAAATGTGTTTAACTCTGCTGTAAAGTTGGACATTTTAACATGGAAGTCTATGGGGAGTGACTCACTTTTGGAGTATGCCTCCAGTGGACACTCGAGGAACTACAGTTTGTGACGCTTCTTCGATCCTTAGAGGATGCCCCCAGAATTCACTTTTGAACAGAGAGGAATAAAAGAAAATAGAGATTAAATCACTGTTTACAGATATTATATTCTAAAGTGGGCTTATCCTCTTTCTCCCGTCCTCAGACGGAGAAGTTTTCAGGGGCGGTGTCACATCCGGACAGCCCGTCCCCCGTTTCTATGGCAGCGGAGGCAGACCAAGATCAGGAGGAGCATGAGAACATGAAGAACCTGCTGATCAGTCGCAGCAGCACCCTGAACTGTGATCAGAGAGGCCTGAGGCGCTCCCGAGCCATCCGCAGTAAGACCAGCAGCTTTCTTCACCTCCACACGACTCCCACAATAACTGACTATCGGCGCCACGTTTACCGCCAGCATCAGTTTACGTTTAAGGCCGTCAGGCTCGTGCTGCTTTTGCTAGAAATGAGCGTTCAACCAGTAAAATCAGACATTGAGATCC